GCCAAACTCTTCCTCCCGTCCCGAGGGAATTGGGAGCGTCCAATTCTAGACATTACTTTGTCCCAGTTCGAATTGAGAGCCTCAAACCCTGAGGATACTTAATATTAGTTTTAAGAGTGGGTACAATAAATAATTCCAATTCAAGAAAAGTTTCCTTAGCAAAATCTCATCAAAATCAACGACAATTGAACAGAATCTGCACTTGTACGTCGCCTCTTTCATAACCGGTGACCTCTTCTTAAACCCACGCACCCGTTTTATCGACCTCTTGATGCTTTGCGCCTTGGGCATGTGACCCTGACTCCCATCCGGCATTTGCTTCAACTCTTGAGTGATGAGTTCATCCGCCGCAAGCGACTCGCCGCCTGGAGAATCTTGGTCATGACTTTTTTAACCTCACAGGCAGTCAATTTTGGCTGGTGATTATGGGACCCAATTTGCAGTAGGAGGGCAGGCTTGTTTAAATTCACATTTGTATGTAGCCTGAACTTGCATTTGTACTTTTGAAACTGGGCGCACTGCCAGAACTTTTTCGTGGATGCTTTTCTGTCCAATTGGGAAAGGTTGCCGTCTACGGAGAGAAGCGGTTGGTCTTTTCGGGAGGTTAGTATTTGGATTCTACTATCGGGGTTTGATGGGTGGGATCCCTTTTCTAGAGTTTTTCTCGCCCTGAGTCGAGGACCATATCGTCAAAATCCATCCACACGTTTTTAATCATTTTTTGGCCCTGGGAATTGATTTTAAATTCTGTACGGCAATTTTATTATGGAAGTCGGCGCCAATTTAGAAAACCTATCAGTACAGCTTTGCGGAGCCCGACCCAGGGAAATGAAATATCGGGGTGGGGCACCCCATACGGTCACTCACGATGAAATTTTGTCAATTGCACGTCATATCCTTTCCTTAAAAACCACTGCTATTTTTATGCTAATTTTCTTCTCATTGAATGACTTTGAAAAATCGGTATGGGTAACCCGTTGGGGTCCCTTCGGATGAAAAATTTTCATATTTCACCTCATATTCGTTCATTAGAAGCAATTAGCTACCTCCATGCCAAATTGCATCCTTCTAACTCCATTTCGAATATTCTACATCATGGACCCCCACCACTCAAATGACCCCCACCGGTCAACCACTTGACCGATTTTGCTCATCTTCGAACTTGATTCCTAATTTGGCATGTTCTAAATGTGTGCCAAATTTCAAGTCGATAGGACAAGTTTAAAGAGAGTAATCGATAGGCGGACAGACAGACAGACAGACGGACATCACGGGTACATAAGCCCTGGGTCGGGCTAAAAATATGAACTCGAGATATTTTAAACATTCTTGAAGGAGATCGCAAGTTTGGATAACCTTCGGAAACATTGGAATTCATTGCAACTTGCTTAAAAACCTTACGATTTTTACTAATAAACTCCCTGAATACAAATTTATCGTCCAAAATAAATTCCCAGAGTCTGGAAACGATTACAAACGTGTTGATTTTCACCATTTCCAGCCATTGAGTCATGAATTGTTAAAATCACTTGGACTTGAAACTGAAACTGATGATCTAGCGATTGGGACATGTGCTTTGGCATTTTGTTGAACTCTGTGACTAATTTAGTTCTCATCCACTTGCATCACGATCGGGTTTATAACTGTGTTATAAATGCATGTGTTATAAACCAAGAAAATGATTATCCCAAAAATCCATAGTAAATAAAATGATCGAGCTCCCGCCGGAATAGTGGCAAAGTGTGTGTTGCGGTGAGGCATAAGTTTAATTTTATTTAATTTATGCGTAAAAGTCCTTGTAGTTTTTATAAGATTATTTAGTTAAGAATTATGCATAAGAATGTCACGGCGAGGCATAAGTTTAATAATGAATAATTTTACGTATAAATTTCATGCAATTTTAGATGATAATTTGGTTAAGTATTTAAGTATAAGTATGAATGTAAGTGTGCAATTGCCCCATGAAGAGGTGGCCGTTGCCATGGTGATGACTGAGTGGGAAAGGAGGTATGAAAAGAGCGTCTCCTTTGTCGTTGTGAGAGTGAGTGTGAGAGCGAGAGTGTGAAGTTAGCAAGTAAGTAAGTAGGAGTCGAGAAGTAAGAAGCTCCACTTTTTGTAGTCGTCAAATATTCGAATAAATACTAAAAATTAATTAACAGAAAGAGTTTAATTAAAGTTTTTTAGTTATTTATTTGCGTCTACCTTACTTCAAGCTGGATAGAGCATTTTTGTCACGATTTAAGTAGTTTTGGCAAGATTTAGGCCAGCTTTAGTCAAGTCCAAGTCCAGTTTAAGTCCAAGTCCAGTATAAAGTCCAATAAGTCTACGCATAAGTCCAGTATAAAGTCTAATAAGTCTACGAATAAGTCCAAGAAGTCCAAGTCAAGTCTACGTATAAGTTTCATTACGGCACGAGGTCAGATCACCAGAAAATTAGTTATCACGAGAAGATAATTCTGAAGTTGATAAGCCCCGCCCGTAACATTGGTCTCGCGAACCGGATTGACAGTGCTAAGAAAGTTCAGTCCGGATAAGAACAAGTGTCAAGTTTAAGTTCGTTTTCTCCAGTTCGGCCGCACCATAGCAGTTCACGGGAACCAGGGAGGACTCGAACCAGTTAAGCCCCAGTCTGGATAAGCAAGTGTGGAAGGTGAAGTTCACTACTCCAGTTCGGCCGAACCATAGCAGTTACCGGGAACCAGGGAGGACGTGAACCAGTCATCATCATCAGCAGCGAAGAAAGTTCAGTCTGGATAAGAAAGTGTCAAGGTGAAGTTCGTTACTCCAGTTCGGCCGCACCATAGCAGTTCACGGGAACCAGGGAGGACACGAGACAGTTAAGAAAAGTCAAGTTTTAAATTCACTACTCCAGTTCGGCCGAACCATAGCAGTTGCCGGGAACCAGGGAGGACGTGAACCAGTTATCCTCATCGTGGGAGAAAGTTTTGCCACTTTGTGGGCCCCACCCTGAGCATTCGGGGACAGATTGGGTGAGATCATTCCATTTTTTCCTTATCTGAAGTTATCCAGTGAGGAGGAGGAGGAGGAGGTCGTCATCCCAGAGTCCGAGGAATAATTATTCGAATATTTCTAAAATAATTATTGCCTCTTTGAGGGCCAGATCCTGAGCATTCAGGAGCCCTTGAGGTCAAGTCGTTTCAGTAAAGTTTTAAGTAGATATTATCTAATTGATCTTGTTTTGTTGGGCCCATTCCTTAGAGAATCCCACCACAATGTCAGCCCCCAACTCCCCCTCATCGCACCGACGTGAGGACCGAGATCGCCGTCCATCTGAGCTCTACACCCCTACGAATGGAGGAGCAAGTAATCGACCAGCAAGTAACCCAGAAGACGATGAAGAGAAGTAAAAAACTCCTCAACGTCAAGAATTAAGTCAAGTTAAGAAAAAAGAATCCCTCTCATCCAGGCTAAAGAAGGCAGATGCAGATGTGGAGCAACAAGAAAAGATATTCGCAATTGAAGAAGATATTGCCGAATTCAAGCATCATATTGAGATGTCGCAAATTGAGTTAGAAAGCATTCAAGTAACAATTAAGAATATATTAGAAAGAATCAACCCCATCAGTTTTAGATTTGAACCTGAAATGGTGGAAGAGAATAAAATAGAGCTAAGGAGGACAACCCTTCACCGACAGAATCACCGATCTTGATGCCCTTTGGATATGTTGTAGTCCTAGGTGAGTCTAGTAAAAGTGAAGAAGGATTTCATTCCATGGCCCCATTTGCGCCCGCCACACCCACTCAAAGAGGAATCTTATGCCAAACTGGTCGCATTAAAAAATTCACCAAAAATCCATTTTTAATGATAATTTGATAATTTTTGCACCTTTTTGATCCCAGATAGTTGTTTTATCGTATCCGACATGAATTTCAATTTTTTGAATTTTTTGAATATTTTCGAAAATTTCGTAGATTTCGAAAAAATCAAAATTTCAAAAAAGTTGAGTTTGCTATTGGATATGATAAAGCAACTATCTAGGGTCACAAAAATGCTTAAATTGTGAAAATCCGACCAAAATTGGATTTTTGGTGATTTTTTTAATGAACCAAAACAGGGTATTTTCGCACCTTTGAGTGGGTGTGGCGGGCGCAAATGGGGCCATTGAATGAAATCCTTCTTCACTTTTGCTAGACTCACCTAGGACTACGACATATCCAAAGGGCAGCAAGATCGGTAACTTTGTCGGTGATGGGTTGTCCTCCTTAGATCAATAACTATAAGAGAAGTTACAATTATGGCTGCCACTGTCAATAACCAGCACAGGTACTACAGAGGAAAGGGAGTAATTATTGAAATCCTCCATCTCATGTAAATAATGGATGTATGCAACCTATTTATCAGTTCTTCATACATTATTTTTTACGTGACACAAATCAAGAGGAATCTAACAATCCCCTACAACCTACAATGCCCCTAAAATTTAATCATCGGTATTTCAGATCCGATGGCCGATTCTGTGGGGCATGGTTAACCTTGGCGTTACAGATTTACAAGCAGTTGGACATTTTGGTGGCGCAAATTAACCTCTGTTAACCCGCGTTGGTTGTGGCAGCTGTCGTAGCAAACGTTTTGGGAATGTGTTTAACTATTTTATCAGGCGCTAGATTACTTGATCACATTGGAAATCTATTCTTTCCTTTGGCCACCACTTTCTTGACTGTGTTTACGATTGTGTTTGGCACGTTTGCTGGCTTTGTGAATAATTGGTCGACGAAATGTATATCGAAATTTCAGAAAAAATGTGGGAGGTGTGACAAAATGGAAAGGCACGAATTGAGAAGGGTTATCAGGTCTTGTACACCGATGAAGATCAGATTCGGGAATAATTTCATGGCAATTTCGACTCCACTGGTTATCTTGGGTTTCGTCGCAAAGAACACGGTTCGCCTGTTGTTACTGCAGGAAACTTAAGCCATTCCAATGCGGACTAAAGGTTCAAACTGTTCCGTGTAATGTGTACAATTAAATCCAACCGAAATTGTACGAATATGTTTATTAAGTGTAATTTTTTACAATTGGTACTTCAAGTACCGTACTTTTATGTTGCATAATACAGTGAAAGACAAAGAGCTATGATAAAATATAAAGGAAGGGTTGCAAATAGGTAAAAGAATCTACACGGTAATGTAGTTGGATATCGTCATTACGGTGAATATTACATATTATACTTTAGTATGACAACTTTGAGCCCAAATATTTAGACCATCGCACAAACTGCCTGAGCAAATGCTATATGTATTCACTTGGTCTGCATATCGTCGCTGTTCGTGCAAAAGTTGCCGGATCAACAAAACAAGTTTGAAACAATTTTTAGGGGAAGTGAGACTTCATAAGTATAACATGGTATCACACTTTTCCCGCATTTTCATTCGACAACTTTTGGTTTTTGATCCGACAACTTTTGCACGAACAGCGACGATATGTAATTCCAATATTTAAACCAAATCGGAGAGTTACACTTCACACCATCGCATTGTTAGGACAGCAGAACAGGTCGAATCCGATTGTCAATATTTGCTCAGGAAGTAAGAACTCTAAAATGAGATCAGTGCGGGACGAAAAGCATTACTTTTTTAGTCAAATTTTCAAATTTTCAAAATATTTTTAATCTTTCTTAAAATTGCTAGGGTTTAAGCCTTATAATTTATATGTAGGTAGGTGATATTTTTACCATTTTAAGTAGTAGAAATATTGATTTTGTCATAATTTAATTTGACAAGATTTCACTCAGAAAGGGTGTGTTCCAATTTTCTAAGAAAAATTAACTATTGGTACTATTAAAAATTAGGTGTGTAAAAACATTGGATAGTTAGGTAACTGTATAGCTAAAAACAAGTCCTTAGTCTAACCTATCCTTAAAAACGACCTTGAAAACTTGCGGGGTCAAGATGAATCCTGCCGACGGCTTTAATCCTGGATTAGCTTTGGCATCGTTGGGATCAAACTTGATCTCGAACCTTTGGCAGATGTTGGACGTGTAGAGGAAGAGCGTGTCCCTCGCCAACGTCTCGCCGGCGCATTGCCTCCTCCCCGTCGAAAAGGGGATCAGCGCCTCGTGTTTCTGGAACTTTGCTCCATCCGGACTAAGAAATCGTTCGGGTCGAAAGTTGCTCGGGTCACCCCAGATCTTTTCGTTGTAGTGGATCCCGTACTGGTTTGCCATGATGGCTGTCCCCTTGGGGAAGGCGTATCCCTTGTACGTCGTGTCGGCCAGGGCTCGATGCGGTACTCCGACCGGTGCGGCGGATGTGAAACGGTGCACCTCGGCGAGAAAGGATTCCACGTAGGGAAGGCTGGAAAGTTTTTTTTAAAGGTTAATGTGGATTTTTTATATTAAATTTTAATAGCATTTTTGCATGTTGGAATGTAACGTAAACTCCTAAAAGTGTTACCTTTTGATATATAATTACACTTACGATCCTAACCTAACTAACAAAATTAAATTAAATCCCGAGTAAACCTTACTCATTATCAAGACAATTTTATTTTAGATTTTATTTACATTGTTCAATAAATCAATTAAGACCGGATTTATATTTAAAAATGGTGACATTATTTTTAAGAGTGTATTTCCCAACATCAGTAATTCATACTGAGAACAAGTATTTCTCCAGGTATTTAAAAGAGATTTTGAACAAAAAGTCCTCTTTTTGATGTGAAAAATACACTCTTAGCAACTTGGTAATAAAAGAAACAAGCGGAGTAGATATATGACTCTACCGTGACGGAATTAAAAATTTACACCATGTTGGTATTGATTTGATAATAAAATAAACCATTTTGGTAATAATTTTAACTAATTTGTATTACTTTTTTTACCATATAGTATTATTTTAATACTAAATCATTACTATCGCGGTAGAGTCATATATGCACTCCGCTCAGTAATGATTCATTAAAATTTTGTTTAGAGTGTATACAAAATTTCTTTACATTGGGACTGGGAAATTAGAAAATAAACTAATATTTATAGGTAGCAGTTTTAGTTTAAAATATGGAAATTCTTACTTTGGTCTATCCGATAAACTGCACTGTCTCGAATTTCCCACGACACGGTCCACCTCGTCCTGCAATTTTTTCTGCACGTCTGGAAACGTAGCCAAGTAGAGGAAAATCCAGGTCAGCGTGATTGACGAAGATTGTGATCCAGCATCAAACAGGTCTTTGATTACTGCAATTAGCTGGCGGTCTGTTAAAAAATAAACTCATATCTTAAAACCCTAGTTTTTATTGGGCACAAAATTCCTAAAAACTTACATCCGACCTCCTTAAAAAACGGGGAATCTTCATCTATACAGGAGGCTATTTCTCTTAAGAAGACATCGATAAAGTCCCTGCATACATAAATTATTATTTTGTTATTAAAATGCTAATTTTTAAAATAAAAATTCTTCACTCCAAAAAATTTTTTCACCTCGGACTATCCTCCGAGTAAGTTTCCTTGTGTTCACTCATAACTGTGGAGAACATTAGTTTAATTCTCTCCAAGTGGTTTCTCCACATTTCGACCCCCTTAAATCCGACATATTTCAACCACGGCATCATAATCCCAGGCCCGGCTTTCTTCCCGAGTTCTTCCATAGTTCTGAAAAATTCACGCAATAACTTATAATTAAAATCCAATTATTACAAAACCTAGATAATTTATTGACCCGATTATTTAATGTCTAAGTAAATCATTTGAAAATGCTTAGACTCCAACCATGCCTTAGTTCAAGTGTTTGCTGTCGGTTTTACTAAAACTATGTACATAATGCGGCACTTATAACCGTCCGGTGACAAATTGTCTCAAAGCTGTTCCACACTTATAATTAGCCGTATGCAAATGTTGGTTGTCCATGGTATTGCAGAATTTTTCAAAAATAGTCTACACAATCATTTATTTGCAGAAAATTTCTGAAATGTCTATTCTGCAGAACCGTTTGAGCAAAACCCTGCATAGTCTTTACACACATATTGTCCTGCACTCATACAGTATTTTTGCAGAAAATAACGGCAAATTTCGGCATAAAACTTTTTAAAATTGCATTCGAGAATTCAAAATATGCACAGTTTTGAGTCTGACTTACTCCGTGATATCCTTCGTCAATCGTACCACGGCCGGATCCGTGTGCTTGTACCGCTTTCCGGCCACAACCGTCCACAAGGAATTGACCACGGCGATGGCCATCCGCTGCTTGACGTCCGTGACGGGCAGATCCTTCTGGGACTTCATCCACTCCAAAATTTCCGTCAGCTCGTCCATGATCAAAACTTCCATCGAGCTCTTGCCAAACCCAAAGTCTCGCAGTTGTCGGAGCGTAAATCGTCTCAGATCCTCCCAATGTCGCCCTTCCGTATTAATCACTCCTGCAAATTTGCAAATTTTTTCATTTAAATTTCGCAAGTTTTAATAGCCCCAATTCACTTTATTTTAAGTGTGGCTCTAAATCAGGATAGTTAGATAATCATAATTTTTGCGAAATGTAGCATTTTTTGCCAATTGTTGCTTTAAACCCATCGTGCTAAAAATGCCTCAATATCTATTCTGCCAAATGACATTTTATTCTGGCGACTTTTTTCGACAAAAGCGTTGTCGCCAAAATATTCGAGTTCCAGCTCACCATGCATTTGTCCATTGGTGTAGAGGTCATTGACACCTCGTCCAGGATTCAACCGTCCAGAAAATACTTCTTGAGAAAACATCTCCTTCACCATTTTCAAGTCAGTGACCACGTAAACCCTTACAAACAATAGGTAAATTTATAAACACAAATTTCATTTCATTTTATGCACATAACCTCCTCGAGAAGAGATAATTGCATCCGTTCCTGTTCACAGTCATTCATTTAAATGAGTGAATATTGAATAAATATGTATTCATTTTTACACAAGGCTGTATCTATGAAAAATGAATCTATACTTTTATATACTGTTCATATTTTACGGTATGCTTACTACGTGGAAAGCTGGGCAAATTTTATTTAAAATACATATGTAGTGAACAAAGCGGAGTAAACATTTTTCCAAATTTTCCAAGTTAATGCATTTTTAATGAAAAAACGTTTTTTTTTTAAAATATGCATCCTTGCAAGGCAAGATACGAATATATACATTCATACCTCTGGCTTCCCATGGATGCCGAATAAATGTCTCCGTACTCCTCCGCCCACTTGACAAATGTCATAAAAGGATGTTTCCAATCCAACTGGAAAATATTCCCAACCAGCGGAAGACCTCGGGGACCTGGGCAAATTATTTTTGTTTTTCAATTTTATTAACCGAAAAATAGAATGCAAACATAATATTTTTAAAAAATAATTTACACATCATATGCACTTATTTTACGCCAAAACAATAATGTTAACCTAATTTTAGTGGTATTCACGTCAACTTCTTAAAAGCCGTAAATGTTGATTTCCAACGTATTTTTGCAGGTTTGCCAAGATATGGGATGTGGCGACCAATCCTTCATTTTTTTGCAAACATGTGTCATAGAATGGGATAGATTATCGTCGTGAACTATTTTTTAAAACTCGTCCTTAAGGGAATTTTCATGTCTCGTCTCATTTTCAGTTTATGGATTTCCATGCAAAATAAGTCATGACGCAGGGGACTCCTTAAACACCCAAATTGTGAAGATTTGTTGCAAAACAACTCTTTTTATTTGCGTGACTACCTCCATTTCCAATTAGAAAAAGTTTCACAGGCTAACTTTCATTCAATAATGCGTATAAAATTAATACTTTCTTTGCTCTCCCATAAAATTTAATTCATAATAATCCTAAATTTATTTTTAAATACCTGGCGCAATAATACCCTCCAACTTCTCCATTTTCTTATCTTGTTTTGTGACCCAGTAGTACAATAGAGCTACAAAAGTAAACAGACCTCCCAACACCGGTAATGATAGCACCATACTCAAAAACACTGATTGTTCTTACAATGTTACAGAAATTGTTCAAATTTACATGCAATTTAGAACATATGACCTAGTATTTGTTTGCAAATTAAATGCAGCGTGGTGGAGACGAGGAACTCGAAGATTTGCACGGTTTCCTTTCCAACAGCGGACTGACAGCGATTTGCTTCGAGTCCATGGATATCTAAACATGCACAGCTTTTTATCCGAGCAGCTATATTTACCAAGCCAGATGAGAATTACGTCTGCCATGCGATGCCGATGCAACACGAGTCGCACGCAAAAAACTGGCCATGAAAATTACTTGGAATTCACTCTGTGAATGCAATGTAAGATTATTTTCTGCCCAGTGACCCACCACCCTCGCGAACTTGTTTATATATGTTCTCCACCTGAGCCCGTACTTTGCCACAGTTTAGACTCAACCACAAAACTCTGCCCTGTGACCTACCTCTTTATTATATCAACCATCTTGTGTGCATTGCATTTTGAGTCAAATCTTTATGCACATTTTATTTTATTTACGGCTTGCTCCAGAATTTACATCTGGGATTTGACAAGTGCATGAAGAGCTTGATGTATTTAATGGGTGAACTTTTTAACAGCTGAATACACGCGATTAAAAATAATGTTTAAGTTAGACAATAACCACGAAAATAAGCACAATCGGCTGCATGCAGATTTTGAACTTATGTCTCAGCTTTCCCTTCACATGCGTAGTAATTCTTCGGTCTACACTGCACGAACTGGTTTTCCATATATTTGCAAATATACGATTCGTCTCTGCAGCAATTCGATGTGGTGTATTATTCAATGATCACTAAATTGGCATTTATAATTGGTCAAAATCCCCTGGCCGTGCACTTAGCCCATATCGCTACGCGACCATGCACCTAAACATCTATGAGCACAATTCCTATAGGATGCTTCAGCAAAAAAAAAATCGCTTCAAATAATATACATACATATTTTCGCCTCGTACAAATTTTTACGAAATATGCATTTTTTACGAACTTTTTTATCTGACAGATTTAAGTACCCTCTAAACAAAAATAACTAACATTTGTCCTAGGTTGAGTAAAAAGAGGATGACAGAACCAGTTGAGTAAAATTTATCCAGCGCCTGGCGTAATTTGACGCAACCGTTGGATACACTTGCCACAACTTGGATGAATTTCACACATCGGTTGGGTATATTTCACTCAACTGGTTGTGTAATCCTGTTTTTACTCAATTTTTGTAAGAGTGTATTTTTCGCATAATTCAGGACATAAGCATTTATGCGCATAGAAATAAGTTCAATTCAGTTAGAGTTTCTCAACGGGTTCGGGTTTTTATCGGGTCGGGTTCGGATTCGGATAGGGTTTCCTTCATCCGCTTCTTATCGGGTTCGGATTCGGATTTACCTTCGGATGATCCGAAAACCCGATTCAAAATTGAATAGTAGGATTTAAGTCTCAATATATTTTTTAAACATGTAGAGTTGATTAAAATCAATTATTAATCAACTAATTCAAGTATTATAAAATATGTAGAGCAAATTTTTATTAGCTCTACGTCCTCCAACTCCATGCACACATTACGGAATAGGAATTTTAAATGACTGAGATTTGCGAACTCGGACCCCTCTATCACCCTTTCTTGAGTTATTCATTTTATGAATAACTTAAAACATTAAAACAATAATATGCACAATATTATCCAGTCGTGAGGGATATTAGTGGCAAAAAATATGTATGCAGGAGAAGGCTGGTTTCTTATTCTGATTAAAAAACCTCAAAGTGTAAAAATGAAATTCAAACTGTACGTTTGCCATTAATAAAATAATTAGAAAAATAATCAATAATCCAAGGAGTACGCAAGGGAGCTTATATAATTATCCTATACTGAATGGGTTCTTATCGGGTTTTTATCGGGTTTCGGGTTCGGGTTCGGATTCGGATCGTTCCCTAGGCAAATCGGATTATCGGGTTCGGGTACATGTCGGACACGGATACAAGATATCGGGTTCGGGTTCAGATGAAGGATTTCGAACCCGTTGAGAAACACTAAATTCAGTTATGTAAAAAAATATTTTGAAACCATTTGGATGATTCATAAAAGTTATGGAACACACAAAAGTTTTCCAATGGGTGTTAAAAATGGAAAAGTTGCAAATAAAAGCATACATATTCAACAGATACAGCTAATAGATACCCTTGCACGTTCACAAGCTTCATTCGGGTTTACAATACTCCAGTATTTTTTAATTCTTATCTTTAGCCTCATTGAGCAAGAGCTTTACTTTTGTCCTACAGAAATGACAGACTTTTGTGCGCAGCTAACATCAAGTTGACATTTATCTCTATAATGATGGTGGGTGTAACATTGTAACTCCGATTGTGCAATTCTAGTTGCGATAGGTTGGTCGCATGCAAAACATATATATAATTATGCAAGTAATAGTTGTTCGTAAATTCTAGCACATATATATTTGTTCTTAAATATAGGGACAAAAAATGTGCAACCCGTTGCAAGACCCACTATCTACTTGTATTCTTATCCCTTCACCCGCTCCACTATCATCAAGCATCTTCAGTATGGGTTTAATAGGGTCGTGCGGTCACGTATGCAGCGCAGAACTTTCAACCTTTGATGCTTCGTGGCATAACAAAATACCATTTCAAGTCGTCCGTGAACTTGAAATGGAGTTGGGTGCTGCACTAGCTGAATTATGAGCTTGTGGTTACAGTTTCTGATTATAGTTAATTGGTGGACTTACATATTAGTTTTAACTACTCCCGTACATACCGCGACAGTTAAGAAGAAGACCAAAGTCAATTCAGCTACTTACCCGGTTCCTCATCTTAGTTACATACTCTCTATTTTCTCATTGCTTGATACACCTAATAAATTTCAAATATTTAGATATTCCATCAACCAGAATACCCCTAGTCTTAGAGAGATACCCGAGCCAGAAATATCTTAAAAAAATTAGGCGCCGACAAAACGACAATTTCCGGTGGAGGTGCGTGTTCCATGGATTTTTGTATCCAAAAATGCCGAGAGGCTCGCCACCTGCACCTTCCAGCCTGTTTAGATTCCACGGATTTTACACCGAATTTTGGACAGGACCAGTCAAGACGGAACAATTTTCTAATCTTTTCCGGCATCGGGACTACTACGTTTATTTTACAAATAGAAAAGCTGATAGAAATTGGTTACAATTTGCTCAAGGAGTTCACGAGACGCAGGGATGGAGTGGTATGAATTGAATTGTAAAACTTTGATGAATTTAATTTTCGCGCAATATTAGTGTGTTTTTTAAAAGTCAAACTAAACTGTTTTTATAATATATGTAAATAGGTCAATCGCATTCAGCGGTGGTCGTCTTGTCCAAACATAACAAACTTCCAGAGTGGCACATTACCTGCCGTACTTGTCACCGAGCCAAGTTCACGTTCCACCTACAACTAGCTGGGGTTAAATTGACGGATTTATTTATCAAATTAGCCGCCACTATCCATCCCGATAGAATATTTCAAATTATTGATATCTATTCTCAATTGGCGATACCAAAGCGTCAGAAAACCACATTCCCAAATTTTCTCATCATTTCGACAAATTCAAACATCGATATCACCACCTTTTCGGCAATCTACCCCAACAACAGCTATGTCTTTCAAGTTATGACATTCATGACGGGCAATGACTTCAAGGCACCGCGAACAACTAGAATTCAGATAAATGCAGCGACTCACATCCCAATTGTTAGAATGGCTGCCGAATCTCACAGATTCCTTACTTGTGACGGTCTACTTAACCAGGCTGGATCCGGGCCTAGTTTTTATCTTTTAATTTCAGCATTCCAGTTCGGGTCATGGTTCGCCTTAGTTATTATGATATTACTAACGGCGGCAGTTTTAAAAATAATTTTCAATTTGACACGCCTTTACCGCAATCCAATTCTCATTTTGATCGCATTTTTGGTCGAGCAAGGAATTGAGGTTACGCCTCAGAAGAGAAAAATGTATGCATCCATATTTCTCTTAGCGCCATGGCTGTTGATGAGTATCGTCATCAGCAATGCGTACAAAGGACAGAACGTGACAGATCTAATATCGCCGCCAAAACCAATTACGGTATCCCAATTTGAGGAAATCCTAGCTCAAAACTACACACTGTATGTGGCCATGCAAAAATATTATGACGACAGGTCTAGGAAGTTTGTGGAATGGGCAGGAACATCCAGGGTCCTTTCCAGGCTACATATTTCAATTGAGGATTATAAAAGCGAAAATCTGTCCAAAGATGAATTAAAGTTTCTGGAAAAACTTGAGTCCAGAATATTTGTGATTAGAGATCGTCACAACCTGACCCTCATAAATGCAATTAGCAGCTGTAATAAGTCCGCAATAGTTCCTTTTGGAAATGCAATAGACGAGTATGAATCCCAGTTGAAATTTTTGCGCCCAAATTCGCATGTTGTGAAAAGTAGGGAAGAATTCTATAAAAAGGAGCGGGGTTGGCTAGTGGGTTACGCGATTGATCCGCAGTTAGAGACCAGGTTTTGGGCCCTATTTCAAGCCGGAATGATAAATCTGTGGCGGAAGTATATTCAATTTTTAAGAATGATTAAGTTTAATAGTGTAAATAGAGCATCGGTGAATGGAAGGGATGATGAGAAAGTGAAACCGTTACAGATTGGTGGTAATTTTTCAGTCGTATTTTACCTTCTCAGCATTCTGATTGTATTTTGTACAGCAGTGTTTTGCTTTGAAAGGATACTGGGGAGGTTTGGAAGAAAAAATGAGGTCATTTTGTGTCCAATGGAGTAAGGATCATGTAAGCATATATCTAAAATACGTATTAAATTCGCAGGGAAGTTGAATTTAGAAAGGTACCACAAAAGGATATTCCCGAAAGTTCCTCTTTAATTATAGCTAAAATTCTATAAGCTTAAACCAACATGTTTCTTTTCGCAAACAGGTTCCAATTCGCGCCTCGCGCGCAAATTATGGCATTCTGTAAACACAAGGTGCTTACTTTTTGTGGGGAACAAAATAAAATTGATCTCAATTAAATTTTTGGAATTGAAGTTTGGAAGTATTTGTGTAACCTTGTAAGATTATTTCGTCTGCACAAGCATATTACAGGGTTGGGCGAGATTATGGAATATCCTTT